AGAGAGTGAGTGACAGAAAAACCCAGGAATCCCACACAGATAAGTAATCAACTGTTAACTTTATTCTTTCTAGATGCACATTAAGATCACATTTACTTCAGAAGATGGATTGCGTTGTGGATGCCCGGCCATCGTGTGCACTCTTTCCCATGATGGAGGCTAAAGCACCACCACAAGTAGGCGCTGCTGCTCATCAGTTTTCAGGGAGTTTTTATTTTCCAGTAAAAGAAGAACCTACTCATTTAAATGGAGTCAGCCTCTCCACCATCACAGACATCTACACCTCCAGATGCAGGAAGAGGGCCACCTGCATCATGAAGGACCACACTCACCCAGCACACTCACTTTTTGCCCCACTCCCCTGAGGCAGGAGGTTGAGGAGCATTAAGTGTAGAACCACTAGACTGAGGAACATCTTCTACCCTGAAGCTGTTAGACTCATGAATCCCTTATCAGAAAAATCACTTTAATGCCAATTGATTGTTGATATGTACTGCTGATTATCCATGCTGCTGATCTCATGCTGCTGATTTATTTCATGCTGCTGTGTTCGTTTGTATCCATCTGCTCACACAGACTCATGTTCGTGCTGCTGTTGTTTGGCATAATGTTTTTGCACTATTAGTGCTTAGCGTATTCTTAGTTTAGCGTATTTCTTAGTTCATATCTTAGATCTTATCACTGTTTTTCTTTACAAATTATACTTTTGTTGGATGTAACTAGGACCCTGTGTACACAATTTTGTTCCACCACATGTACCACATGAGACGCAAATGACAATAAAGAAAACCTTAACATTAAATTAGTTGATTTCAGCTGTAGTCACTCGATTATCGCGGGTGCTATGTTCCAGACACCACCGCAATAGGTGAAAAACTGACAAATAGGAACGTTGTATTTATTTTAGTATTTATATATATTTTAAGGCTTTGGGAACCCTTCCCATACTCTTACGATGTTTTAAACTCTTTAACCTATGTAATTTTAGCAGCATACTAATATGTACTGTACAATACTGAAAAATTTTATATGGGTACTCTCCAGCTCTGCAGACCAGCAACTCGGTTCCGGTTCTGCAGACCTACGCTAAAGTGACAAAGCCCACCGCCCAGGTTGATGTGTGCATGGATAATTGAGCTTCAGGAAGCTTCAGGATTATTTGCAATTTTCCTGTCAGTTCTGTGAGATTAATAGATTTTTGACTTTACGTTGCAAAACTTTCCCCGGCAGAAAGCAGCGGCTGGAAGCACTGTTGGCTTCTGGGCCGTGTAGTTCTTTTGACCTGCGTTACAGTATAGGCTTATTGAAAAAAAAAAACCTAGAAAATGGTGGCACCTTTCCGAAGTTTTTTTTCCATTAATCTTTTATCCCATATGTCCCAATAGTGTGAGTAAGATTAAAGTTGACAATCGTGGGTTGTGTACAATCTTACTTTGAAAAACCATGAAAGAGCGAGTCCGTGAAAGTCGAAACGCGAAGTAGCGAGGGATTACTGTACTGTACCTTCTACAAAGTTAACAATTTTAGAATCGTTAATTTAAGTGCACGTCTTTAATATAGTTGTTATGAGCTACTGGGCCAAGTGAAAAATACAGTATTTCCAATAGCCTTGTAAGTCTGGTAATTCTCAGATATCCGAGCTTTTCTATGAACTTGAACACAGTATTACATGTAATTCTCAGATATCCCAGCTTTTCAACAGCATTGAATGCGTCATCATTTGTGGAACTGGTGCAATAAGAAAGTGTCAATAGTCGTAAACACAGGCAAGCTGATCCATGTGCAGCGATTTGTGCACGCACATTTGCTGATTTGTATGCGTAGTGTGTTACTACTTGTGCAGTTTGAATAGTGCAAATTTGAGAAACTACACATTTGTGACTGTTGAGGTATGCATTTACACATTGTGACATACACATTTGTGAATTATGTTGTACGCATACAAATCTTGTTGTATGTGTTTGTGAATATTTTAGACTAATTTAGTTCCACAGTTTTACTCCAGAATTCACCGTTTACAGCATTGATTCCTCACATGACTGTGTTCCAGCATGTGGACAGATGAATTGAAGATCAATTGTTGGAAAGGTAGCAGAGGTGGCATACATAACATTACAAGGAAGGAAAGTACTGGAACAGATGTAAAAGTTCTTCTAGAAGGTTCTGTTAGCTTTGGATGGGACTACCTTCATTTGGGAAAGATGTCAACACCCCCCACCCCTATTGTTACTGTATAATTCATCACACACTGGTTGTGGAAAGTGTAGGCGATGGGTGCCTGAGGGAGGATTTTTAATGTTCACGCACTAATTGACTTCACACTGAAGCCAGAGATGATATGTGTAAAAGTTTTTAGTGCAGATCAGACCAAATATTTGAAATGGGTGGGACAGTCAATACTGAGTTTATGTGAACAGAGTAAAGTCGGGTTCTGTTGTGTTCTGTTCATACCTGCAAGAAGACATGGACAGTTTGAAGGACAAGTGTGAATCCACATCTGGAAGCTTTCCAGGCTGTGTTTGTTTTCATTCAGTAGTATAAATGTTTCAGTGAATGAGATCCGTCCTCGGCCTGAACAGTTCCTGTTGGCAGTTTCTGCTTGGTCTTTGCAAACAGAAATGATGTATTGGTTTGATGAAAAAATGAGCTGTGATTCAAACACGTGTTAACAATATGACTGAAAAAGGTCAAAGAGGAAAAAATATTTTAAACACATGAAGAATGAAACCTTTTTTCTTGAAGAAATGCATAACACCCGCTGCCACTCGTGCCACAGTTTTAGGCTGATTTATACTCGGCAAGACGTTGAGAACTCTGTCCTCACAGTAGCAGGATGGAAATTATGTCATCTGGATCTTACAGACTTTGAAAGAACTTGTTCTGTGAACAAGCTGCAGGCAGAACATTTTACTCTGAGAGGTATGCACCAACTTGGTGTGACTGATCAGAACTTTGTGGCTGTGTTTATGTAGAAAAGCAGCTGAAGAGCAGTGTCATTTCACATCAAGTGCTCCACTGAGAGGCAGCTGTCCCATAAAAACTTCTAGGGAGTCAAAGAACTTGAGGAACGAAAAAGCACAGTGTTTGTGCTTAGAAGACTGTGGCACGAGAGAGGACTGTGGGAGAACAGTACGAGGACTGATAGAGGACTCTGAAAGGACTGTTGGAGGACAGATAGAGGACTGAAGGACAATGAGAGGACTGTGGGAAGACAGTGAAAGGACTGTGGGAGGACTGTGGGAAGACACAGATGACTGTGGGGGGACAGACAAAGAGATTACTGTGGGAGGACAGAGACTGTGGGGGGACAGACAAAGAGATTACTGTGGGAGGACAGAGAGAGGACAATTGGGATGACGGAGAGAGGACTGTGGGAGGACAGAGATGACTGTGGGAGGACAGACAAAGAGATTACTGTGGGGGGACAGAGAGAGGATAAGTGGGATGACAGAGAGAGGACTGTGGGAGGACAGAGAGAGGATTGTGAGAGGACAGAGAGAGGACTGTGAGAGGACTATGGTTGGACAAAGAAAGAACTGTGGGAGGTCAGTGAGAGGATTGTTGGAGGACAGAGACAGGACTGTGAGAGGACAGAGACATGGCTGTGGGAGGACAGTGGGAGAACTGTGGGAGGACAGTGAGAATAATGTGGTAGTACAGAGCTAAAACTGTCAGA